GGTGAGGCTCACGGTAGCTCGGCCAGCTGATGGTTGTTGTTAATCCTCACACCGATGTGAGAGAGAGACGTGGACTGGCTGCTTCCCGCACGCACCCCAGCGAGGGGCGGGGGGTGAACCCACAGGTCTTCTGTGCACGGGCCGGCCCGCCAACCACTCAGCCGTACTGGCCAGGGCTCGGCCAGCTCCCCATGAAGTGCTGCTACGGACCAAGTGCTGCGAGGAACCATCTGCACATCTTATTCTATTTAATCCGCCGGCTTTGCGTCGGGATTACATAAGAAAGCCTCACAAACATATCCGCCTCACCACTTGCCTCAGATAGATTCCAGGGTGAGCCGCAGAGACTCGAAATAGCGGTGGCCCACATACGGGAGAGGCTGGTCCTCCCAACCACAGAGCCTGCGGCTGGCCACCCGGGGGAGCAGGCAGCTCGGCTCTCAGAGATCACAGGGACCTGCTGTCCCCCAGCTCCGCGCGTCCCGGTGACCCGCCACGTGCGGCCTCGATTCCCACAGCCACTTCCTGGTGCAAAACAGGTGCTTCCGCTCCGGCCATCACACCCGCACTCAGGGCGCAGGGGGGAGAGGCGAGGTGTGCGGGGCAGGGGACGGTCCCAGGGAATGCCTGAAGCTGCCCCAGGACACTTCTGCTCCCGTGTCATTGGCCGGAGCTTTAGTCACATGGCTAAACCTAGCTGCAAGGAATGCTGGGATATGTAGTCTTTGGCTTCTGCCCACGTGTGCCCAGCTGGACAGTCTGTTCCCAAGAAGGGAGTGAGTGGGCGGCGAGGACAACTGGCCATCTCCGACGTGCCACGGCTTGGTCCGTTCTCAGCACAACTCTACCCAGTGTTCCCAGAGGAGCCTACCCCTCATTGAACGCAGGGCTTCCTAACCCGACACCCTGAGCCGTCCGGGATGGCCGGCTCCTTGGGGGTGCTGGTCACCAGGCCTCCCCGATGTGGGGCCACGGTGTTAACACGCACTCCACGTCGGACACGCAGAGCCAGGCCGACCCGAGGATTCATCCAGTGTGAGAGGGAGGACGTGTGTCCACCGTTGCCATTGTTACGGGAGTCCCCCCTGCCCCCCC